CACGGCTTGTTGGAGCTCCTGCCCCCCCCCCCCCCCCCACTCACAGCCTGAGCTCCGAGTGTGTGTGTGTACGGAGCTCCGCGCAGCACCGCGGCTGAGAAAAGATAAGGCTGAGTGAGTGTGTGTGTGTGTGTGTGTGTGTGTGTGTGTGTGTGTGTGTGTGTGTGTGTGTGTGTGTGTGTGTGTGTGTGTGTGTGTGTGTGTGTGTGCGGAGCTCCGCGGATTGGTCCATTTGGACTTTGTTACGTCAATAGGACCCAGAAGGAAAAAATGGAAGAAAGAAAATCTCCAACGAGGCGTTCTGGTTTCAGGTCTTTTCTGTGTTAGAGTTGTACTCGCTACAGGGTGTACTTTGAGGGTTTGTGACTCTGCAGACCGTTTACATGAATAAAAACCTTCATAACACACAAGGGGACGGGTAATAACCAGAAAAACATATGATGGGACCTTTAAATGATTGTGTGCATATTTGTGTGTTTTTTTTGTCTCTGGGATCTTACAGGTGTTGGTCATTTTTACAATAGGTGTGTTTATCGGTTGCTTATCTGGTATTTGTTTATTTCTGGTAAAGGTTGTTTTGCTTTCTGGTGCTGTCCCTGCTTCGCCTGTAAAACAACCAAGACATATGGCAGGGTCTCTGTCTCCCCCTGTTGGACATGTCTTGTTGTGTCCCTCCCGTCACCATGTCCATGAGGGTCTCCATGAGGGAGCGCTACGGCATCAAAGTAAGACACGATTCTCTTTTGTTGGTGTCAGATGGCAGAAATATTTGAGTTTTATTTGCGATTTCTGTTGATATACTATCATTTTGTATTTCATTGAGACTTAGGGAGACATGTCAAGTTACATGATTTGAACTTGTAAAGCCAGAAAGTGTTAACAATCACGAGTGTCTGATTCGACAAAAATATGAAAGTGATATTCAAGATTTTTAAGATTTTCAACAGTTCAACAAACAACAATTTCCTTAAGGGTTAGGAAAATGTTTGTGTGTTTTTTTGTATTCCTACTGACACAATAAAGGTCCACACTTTGTTAGAGTTGGGAGGAAATCATGGCTTGGGTTTAGAAAGCAACCTTTTGAAGGTTTTGTGAACCTTTGGTAAAAGAAAAAAAAAAACCTCAGTCCTGGAAGGAAAGTGTCGCTATTTCAGGGTTTTGGTATCCCTACTTTTCAAAACATTACTTTAGAATTACTTCTAAAAAAGACTTTAGAAAGGTAAACCAAGTGTATGAATAATGATCAGAATCAATGATGCAGCCTGTAAATCCTATTTTTCACCTGTATTTCCTGCAGGACACCATGTTTAGGGACTGTCTGTTTGCCACCTTCTGTACGGCCTGCAGCTGGTGTCAGATGTCCAGAGAGATGAGGAGGAGAAACCATTAAGTCGTCCTAGTCAGTGCCAAGAACACATGAGTTCTCTCCTGTCTCCTGACCGCCACCAAGGCTGTAACATGTTCCATTAACACACAGCCTGCTGCAGCTTTTCTAACACATCTAAACATTATATATACACTGTACACTGAAGCCTATGTGAAAGAGACGAGCCTACATTGAAAGAAAATAAACGTTGACTTTAATTGAATGTGTTATGTCACAGATTTCACATAACTGCATCATGTTAGTTTGAAGCAATAATATTAAGTTAACTTAAAGAACATTAGGTTCAACTTAATATTATTGCTTTCAACTAACCTAATACAGTCATGTCAATGACTGAAAATATGTGTGCCTGAAAAACTAATTTAATCAAATTAGCTAAAATGATTGATAACTCCCACAGCATAATACGAGCTCTGGCAGCAGGGAATGTAGAAATAAGTTATTTTTGAAATGTATTACACCCCAATTATTTTATAAGTTTTATTTGTTCTGCCTGAGACGAAAACGCATACTTTTACTGAAAAAATTGTATCTGATCTTGGTTAAAGGGAACTGTCCGCTGACTTTAAGGCAACTGTTCTTGAAGAGCCTTTATGAATTACATTTTGTTTGTTTAAGTTTAGTTTTTAAGCAAAACCCAAGCATGGGTTTATCATCACGACAGTCGTTTTGTAAACTAGTATTGTTTTCACATACTAATATGATATATCTGACAAAGTTACAATGTATTAAACAGACTTCAAGCAATTGAAATGATGTATTTCTATGATATGTGTATATAGAACATCAGGGCACAGCCATTCATTTGAAATGATGTATTTCTATGATATGTGTATATAGAACATCAGGGTACAGCCATTCATTTGAAATGACAGTAACAGCTTTGACTTTGTTTCATGTTGAGCAAGCTTACTTTCATAATACTTCAGTTATTATCAATAATATCAAAGGAATACCATTTGATGTTGTTGTTTGCATATGTATATGGCACATTGTTAAGAGCAGGTCAAATCACATGCATTACCAAGTGTTCACAGATGGAAAACACACAAAGAGCATATTGCAGAGAAAATGTACAGAAAGCATCTTTAATGAAATGTACTTGAAATACTGATGTGACACCTTACTAGCGGCTAGAGGGAGCCACATTCTTCACAATGAGCCAACACTTTTTATAGAGGGTTGAGGCCATGTGGGTCGTGGATCAGAAGCATGGACCTGACAACCACCTGCACAGGAGAGGGAAAATAACAAAAAAACCTTACAATAAATGAAGCTTTCCTGCGCTCAATGTCAGTGTTTTAAAGAACGGTTCTGTATTAGCACAGATAGTGAATGTCTTTCTGCCTTTGTAAGTTGCATAATGCTGCAAATGCTGAACATTCTCTTGCCATCCATTTTTTGTTGAAAATTCTCATCTTCATTTCAAATGACGGTTTGGGACTGGCCTAATGTTTACAAATCAATACTGACAATTAGGTCAAACCTCGATTTATAATCTTATAAAAAACAGTATAGCCTATATGTGTTTTACCGTCTGTATAACCTTGACTTTCGAATATTTTCTAATTAAAGTCACATAGTGAAATTTCAAGCCTGATGACATGACATGACATTACATGTTACTTGTTAGACGCTTTTATCCAAAGCGACTTACATACTCAATACTGTGTGGGCAATCCTCACAGGAGCAATTTGGGGTGAAGTGTCTTGCCCAGGTACCAGGGGCGGATTGAGACAAATATTCATGGGGTGGCAAGAGGGTGGCAGGAGATTTTGAGGGGTGGCATCCCCTGGCAGAAGTATATGCTGATTTAATCACACTCATATCAATCAATGTTAACTTGGAAAGCCACAATATTAATATTGTAACTCAATAACATTAGGTGACATTATTGTGGCACATCATTAAAGCCTTAAATAGAAATATATAAGGTGGCAGACATAATTTAATGAGTTTTAACTGAACAATAACTGAATGAGTTTGTTTCACTCTTAGACCAGCAGGGGTACCAAATCTATGCAGACTGCTGCAATAAGTACATTAATTAACTGTCTCATCGATGTTTGTCTGAATGAATATGATACTATTAACAATCATATTATTCCTATCAGCTGTCAATCACTGTTATGATTCACATATTCATTTATTATTGAATAAACCATATTTTTTGGAGGAGTTAATGATGAATATTCCTCAAGATGCTTGCTCACCCTCCTTCAAATTTGAAAGACAAGTAATTATATCATGTATCAAAATTCAAAAGATTCAAAGGAACAGTTCAGCACCCCACAACTTTACTGCAAACCGTTACATTACATTTTTTTACATTTCATTTAGCTGACGCTTTTATCCAAAGCGACTTACAATTACCAATTACAGGGACATTCTCCCTGGAGATGGAGCTGCCATCCATGGAGGACCTTTACTCCCAGCGGCTCAGGAAGAAATCACTACGGATTTTCAAAGACCCCCATCACCCCAGCCACAAACTGTTCTGTTGCCGTCTGGCAGACGTTACCGCAGCATCCTGGCAAGGACAAGAAGATTCGGAGACAGTTGCTTCCCGCGGGCAGTGAGACTGTTAAACAACTGAACTGTTGAAACAACTTCAAACATTCTTCTGCTACTCAGTAATATGTATCTAATATCTAATATATATCATTCCAATAACTTGTATATAGACTCGTACTGCACTATTCCACATCATCACTTTATTTTATAACTATTTTTCTTTTTGTATTGCTCTTGCTCTTATTGTTATTATGTTATTATGTTGCATTGTTGGAGAAGCCTGTGACATAAGATTTTCAACTACATAATTACTCTGTAGCTATGTCAGATTGACAATAAAGAACCTTGAACCTTGGAGTAACTAAGGACCAAGTGCCTTACTCAAGGGCACACTAGTGGTGATGTTCCTGGCGGGATTCGAACTCACAACCTGTCGCCATGGCAACGGAATTTGATGACACCCCATAATACGCTTAGATGCGTTGATGGCTGCATCGTTACCAAACCTGTGAAGTTTTGGGCTGTTTGGAACATTTTCACTGAAGTTATGAGAAAACCGTGTTTCATGGCGAGCATTGTGTTGCCATGGCAACGGCATTTGAAGAAACCCCATAATTGACGTAGAGCTGTTGAGGGTGAGCTTGAGGTGGTGAGCAGACATCCACTGAGAGATGTCAGCTAGACAAGCAGAGATGCGTGCGACGACCTGGATCTCTGAGCGGGGAAAGGACAGAATTAATTGGGTGTCATCAGCGATCCAGATTTGAACACTGTCCTGACGTCAGGACGGTGGCGCTACGGCTATTGGGCCAACTCCACCAATCAGGAGGAGACAGCCACGGCTATTGCCGTTCGAAAGCCCTGGAGACGCTGTAGTACATATTCCAGGCCTGTAGGTGGTGCTGTTCTCAAAGAATCAGCCCTTGCAAAAACAGAGCTAAAAAATGTCAAATTGAGCGAAATGAGGCATGGCTAAAATGCATGATCTGTTTGGTATTTTGAAAAAAAAAAAAGTATAAATATGCCTTATATAGGTATGGTCCTACACTATATTATTCAAATATAGCATGATAGGTCCACTTTAAATATAACATTGGGGCGTGTGATTGTAGTGGGTGGAGGTGGTGAAATGAGGATATCCATTTTGGAGTTCAAGCTAGTATAATATAGTTAACGTTACACAATAATAAGGAAGAGAGCTATTTTTGTGATACATCGCTATTGATATGGATTTAGAGTGCATATTTGAGACTTCCAAACAGTAAACAAAAACGTAACTTATGGGTGAGTGTTTTTAGCAGAGCCATATAATGTCCTTGTGATTCTGTTGATTATTACCTGTCTGTATTATGTTGCAGCTCAGCTGATTTTGGATTGATGGCAAAGGGAGAGGGACTTAAGTGAGAGTGAAAACACAAGGTAAGTTTAAAATAGGTCAGCAATGTCCCATCCTATAGGTTGCTATATAGATGTATCTAACCCTTTCTCCTGTCTTTGTCTCCCTCTTTCAGCACAAGAACCCCAGGGGGATTCAATGGAGCCTGAAGACCTGCAATGAGACCCTCACCCTGCACCTGAGTCTCAACTCCCAGAGTTTTGCAAGCCTCTCCCTGTTCCTTATTTTTATTAAACAGACATTAAGCTTCCCAATGGTGTGGTCTTCGTTTTGTGAAAAATATGATGCGAGAGGAGGCCAGCTGAATCGGGCTTCCCTTGGTGAAAAAAAATGGAGGGATTGACCAATCAGATGAGGCCCACGTGATGCCCCTGCCAACCTGTGATTGGTCAGGGCCATGCCAAGGGAAGCCAGCGGCCTCTGGCTTCCCTTCAGAGGCGGCTGGCGGCTGGCGATTTGATTAGACACTGCCATCCCATCAAATCCCATCAACATCAGTTTTACTACGTACTGTAGTAGCCTACTGTAACTGTCATCACCGCCGTTTGAAATTATCAAGCAAATGAAGCATTATGGAGGGTGGAGATTTGGCGTACTTAATCAAACATAACTTTACTAAACTTCCGCTACAGCAGCAACTAAAAATTAAATCAGATGACAGGCCAATGCCCACACTCGAGCTGTGTACACAGAGGAAAAAGGGAGCGAATCGGACGTTCAATGAGGACAATTATGTGTGTGTCCCCCCCCCGGTTTCTGTCTAAACAGGATTTGAACAAAAGAAAAGGGTGTCGCACTCCTGGGCAAAGCAAAGTGTGTCTTTCAAGACAGATTAAATTAGCTTATCTTTACAAAGATACCAAAAAGTACAAAAGGACCGGTAATCGTTAGATTTAACCACACAGAACGATAGATCAGGTTTTCTACAACAGACACGGAGTTGGGAGTAGGAGAGGTCGATGAGAGAGAGGGCAGAGGAACTGAGTGGCTGCAGCTTAAATGCTCCTGTCTCTTCAGGTGGACCAATCAGCTAACGGGCACCACCTGCTCACTCACACACACACACAGCCACACTGAGGCCGTTTCTCAATGTCGAGTAAACCTGCTGCAGAGCCACTATTTCAAGTATACTACGTCATAGCGTGGCGCCGAAGGACTGTTTAAATGCATGTTAAATGCCCAGCATTCGGCGCCACTCGATGACGTAGTATACTTGAAATAGTGGCTCTGCCTCTGCAGCAGGTATACTCGACATTGAGAAACGGCCAGACTCTCACAGGAGGAGGGGAAAATATCCGCACACAAATGACATAATGACCCAGGGTCATAACAGCTGGGAATCTCCTTCTTTCTGCAGCTTTCTGCAAACATGCGTGGCCCTGTAGCTACTGACCCAGAATCAGTACTTCTCTAACAGGGCTGAAATAGAGGGGTATGAGGCATGGCTACAATGGGTGATCTGTTTGGTATTTTGAGCAAAACACTTCATAGACATGTTTTTTTATATATTTGTATATATCTGAGACCCATAATATATGCCTAAAAATAGTAAAATAGGAGACCTTTAAGGGTGATAAAAGTGATTTTCATTTAAAGAGCAGTACAAAATGTAGGCGAATCATCACAGATGAGTGAGGAGGGGGTTCTTATAGAATGACGACCAGCTCACGGGGTACACGACACAAAAAAGGTCGGGGAACCACTGCATTAAGCAACAGTGTCACATAAGTTTCGGACATGAGGTCATGACGTGTATTTGGTGGTGCTCATGTAATAGCCTCACCTTAGTTCTTAGCGGGTGTGGCGATACTAGAGTCTGTGGGTGCCCTAGGCAAACATTCACTGGGGGCCCCTGCGTGGAGCTTTTCATCACCACGCACAGCCAACAGCACCCCCCCCCCCCCAAGCTCCAAACTAAGTTAAATATCTCAAAAAGTGTAAAATATATCAAATATTTGAATAAGAATTGAATAGCTGAAGGTGTTGTGATCATTTTAAAGTTGGAATGAAGTCTCTAGCTGAAAGTATGTGGAAGGAGAAGCATTTGGCGCAAGGTGTAGGTAAAAGAGGATTTGAAGGCTCCTCCCTTTGAGTTCCATGTTAAAAAAAGAGTTTAAAAGCTGAATATTTAAAGAGATATGCACTTCAGTGCAGACACCGGCTGTAACAGGACGTACGACTCAGAGCTCTCTCAACACACAAATACACAGGTAAGATATTAACTCGGCACTATCATGATAATGCATAAGTAGTAGCTACTCTATATATTTATATATAGTGCTTTTATTATTTGTAACCTGTCTGTATTTGTGTCATCTTATTTTTCTCTAATGTAGAGTGTGTGCTCTTTGTATGGATAGCACTAACTAGCACCAACTTTGCTTTAAGGCAATTTGCCATGAAATATTATTCCACCTTTATATCCATAGGTCAGAAAGAAAATACCTTTGTTGACCATTTATAGATGTGTGTATTCTTCATTAATCTGGTTGGCTGAAAGATGTAACTGTTATTGTCAACAAAAAAATATATAAGAATGTGATAATTCAAATGGCAGAGGATGTTTGGACCCTAAATATATTGAAAATCAAAGAGAAACTCTAGAAATGTGGAAAAGGTTTTCTTGACAAAAAAAGCATTTTGTTTGGACAATTTAAATTACCTGACTTTTATTTTCTAACAAGTCACTCAAATGATGACACAGCACATTGTCTGTAATTCCCCTCCGGGATGACAAATACTGGTGATATCTGATCTATCGGCAGGCTGTTATTCCAACACACAAACCCAAATAAATGACTTCTTTGTCATGGTTACTTAACTAACCACTTGGTTATTAATAGGGAAATCTCACGGCCATGATCAAAATAAATCACATTTATCAAAAGCACTTTGGTTACATTACATGTATTACATGTAGCTGAAGCTTTAGTCCAAAGTGTTTACAATGTTGACCATCAACCTTGTAATTGGTGAAAAACGTGCTCCATCAGATCTCCTGAGTCACAGCAGCCCCATTAGCTTGACCTATATGCTTGTTAGACCAAATGCGGTAAAGGTGTATCTATGAACCTGTTTTTCGCCATGCCAAAAACACAAAAAAACATTTCAATACTTTGTCCTCGGGTTAGTATTATATTTCTAACGCTCACATGCTTACAAGCCTCCACCAGAGCAGCACTGGAGTGGTGTCCTTCTACAATATCTTATTGAACAAATTATATTATACTGTAAAATGATGCAACATTCTAACTGAATCTATGAAATACGTAAAGTATGTGGTGTTTTTGTTTCAATCTTGTAGCAAGGGTATTGCCAGCACCCATGATTTCTTTGTTGACACTTTGCATATGACTGTATTTTGTACAAGCACCAATAACAAACATTTTTGACATGAACTCTAAGTCCTAGTTCCTCCTTGAGAAAGCCATCATGACTTCCAAAATGGTCAACAGCCAGCCTCAGTGTGTGATGGACACCCGGGACTCTGATGAGTGGGGATCAGGGATCTGTGACTGCTTTCAAAATGTGCCTGAGTGTAAGTATCTGCACTTCTTTTCTTTATGAGAGAAGTTACAAGTATAGTTTATATTTGATTTGTATCTCTTGTGCACAGTCATGCTATGATTATGTGTCAAAAGGGCATCGTTTGCTTACTCAAAGGACAAGATGTTGTTCATTTTTATTCTGTAGTTTTCAAATACATTAATCTTTCATATTTTGATATTAGCTGCATCATAAAAACACAAAGGGTTACAGTACATTTTGTAATTTCCTTACTGATTTAATGTGTAATTTTTTGCAACAAACCTACCAATCTTATGTGTCGATTTGAACTAAATACTTCAAAATAATAATGTTAGATACTCATCCATGTTTTATGAAATAACAGCAAAAATACACAGCCAAGTCTGATGTAAAAAAAGTGAACCTGAAATATTTAGAAAGGAAAGGTAATTGACTTACTCTAATTATTTATTAGTATCTTAAAGGTCCCATGTCATGGCCATTTCTATTGATCATAATTCCATTGTTGAGGTCTACTAGAATAGATTTACATTGTTCAATGTTCCAAAATCACATTGGTTTCTCATACAGCATCTCTGTATAGTATGTGTATTCACTCTCTGTCTCACACGGCTTGTTGGAGCTCCTGCCCCCCCCCCCCCCCCCCCACTCACAGCCTGAGCTCCGAGTGTGTGTGTGTACGGAGCTCCGCGCAGCACCGCGGCTGAGAAAAGATAAGGCTGAGTGAGTGTGTGTGTGTGTGTGTGTGTGTGTGTGTGTGTGTGTGTGTGTGTGTGTGTGTGTGTGTGTGTGTGTGTGTGTGTGTGTGTGTGTGTGTGTGTGTGTGCGGAGCTCCGCGGATTGGTCCATTTGGACTTTGTTACGTCAATAGGACCCAGAAGGAAAAAATGGAAGAAAGAAAATCTCCAACGAGGCGTTCTGGTTTCAGGTCTTTTCTGTGTTAGAGTTGTACTCGCTACAGGGTGTACTTTGAGGGTTTGTGACTCTGCAGACCGTTTACATGAATAAAAACCTTCCTAACACACAAGGGGACGGGTAATAACCAGAAAAACATATGATGGGACCTTTAAATGATTGTGTGCATATTTGTGTGTTTTTTTTGTCTCTGGGATCTTACAGGTGTTGGTCATTTTTACAATAGGTGTGTTTATCGGTTGCTTATCTGGTATTTGTTTATTTCTGGTAAAGGTTGTTTTGCTTTCTGGTGCTGTCCCTGCTTCGCCTGTAAAACAACCAAGACATATGGGCAGGGTCTCTGTCTCCCCCTGTTGGACATGTCTTGTTGTGTCCCTCCCGTCACCATGTCCATGAGGGTCTCCATGAGGGAGCGCTACGGCATCAAAGTAAGACACGATTCTCTTTTGTTGGTGTCAGATGGCAGAAATATTTGAGTTTTATTTGCGATTTCTGTTGATATACTATCATTTTGTATTTCATTGAGACTTAGGGAGACATGTCAAGTTACATGATTTGAACTTGTAAAGCCAGAAAGTGTTAACAATCACGAGAGTCTGATTCGACAAAAATATGAAAGTGATATTCAAGATTTTTAAGATTTTCAACAGTTCAACAAACAACAATTTCCTTAAGGTTTAGGAAAATGTTTGTGTGTTTTTTTGTATTCCTACTGACACAATAAAGGTCCACACTTTGTTAGAGTTGGGAGGAAATCATGGCTTGGGTTTAGAAAGCAACCTTTTGAAGGTTTTGTGAACCTTTGGT